GGGGCATAAATGTTTCATAGCAACCTTATTTGTGATACTTCCAACAACCTGGATATCCTTCAGCGGGTGAATGGTTAATCTATGGTCCATCCATACCATAGAATTCCAGTCAGCAATGAAAAGGAAATAACTCTTGATACCTTCAATGATTTGGCTGAATCTCCAGAGAATTTTGCTAAGAAAAAAAAAAAAAAAAGCTAATCATACCATATGATTCCATTTATATGACGTTCTGGAATGACAAAATTATGGAAATGCAGAGCAGAATAGTGATTGCTAGCAGTTAGGGACAGATGGGAAGAGGATAGTAAGGCGGGGAAGTAGGCATGGCTGTGAAAAGGCAGCATGAGTGATCCTGTGGTTAGGGAACTATTCTTTTTTAAAAAATAGATATTTTATTGATTTTTCACAAAGAGGTAGAGAGAGGGATAGAGAGTTAGAAACATCGATGAGAGAGAATCATGGATCAGCACACCCCACCCTAGGGATGTGCCGGCAACCAAGGTACATGCCCTTGACTGGAATCGAACCTGGGACCTTTCAGTCCGCAGGCCGACACTCTATCCACTGAGCCAAACCGGTTTTGGCTTTTTATTGTGCTTTTTTTTTTTTTTTTTTTAGGGCTCGCACTGAAGATTGAGTCCACAACCTGGACATGTGCCCTGACTGGGAATAGAACCGTGACCTCTTGGTTCATAGGTGGGCACTCAACCACTGTGCTATGCTGGCTAGGCTGTCCTGCCCTCTTCTCCCCCCTCCTTTTTTTTTTTTTTTTTTTTTTTTTTTTAATCTTGCCCTTCTTAATGTTAATATCCTGGTTGTGATATAGTTCTTAGTTTTGCAAGATGCTACCATCGTGAGAAACCGAGTTAAGGGTACATAGGATTTCTCTGTATTCTTAAAACTGCATGTAACCTGAAGTTATCTCAAACTAAAAAGTTTAATTAAGCTCTAGCTGGTTATGCTCAGTGGATAGAGCGTCACATTGCAAACCAAAGGGTCCCAGGTTTGATTCCGGTCAAGGGCACATACCTCTGTTGCAGGCTCCTCCCCTGCCTGCGTCCTGGTCGGTGTGTGCAGGAAGCAACCAATCAATGTGTTTCTCTCATTTCGATATTTCTCTGTCTTTTCCTCTCTTCCACTCTCTCTAAAGATCAATGAAAAAAAATATCCTTGGGTGAGGATTAAAAAAAAAAGTTTAATTAAAAAGAAAAGATAAATCAGGGCTGCTACCATTAATGAAAAGAAATACCCATTATTAAAGCTACAGATCTTTCTAAGTACTTAAGTTCAATTTACAAATCTCATTATTTTTATAAATACTTATAAGAGGGATTTTAGAACTTGGTTAATTAAATTCCCCTTTGTCCTCTAAGCCCCATTAAAAATTTTTAGTATATTTATTTTCATTTCTAAATAGTTCACTTATCTGATTAACAAAGACCATTGGGTATTTAAATAATTTTTTACGTCTAATAAATAAACTGCTAAATATGGATTATTTTAGGTTTTTAAAAAAAATATATTTTATTGATTTTTTACAGAGAGGAAGGGAGGGAGATAGAGAGCTAGAAATGTCGATGAGAGAGAAACATCGACCAGCTGCGCACACCCCCTACCGGGGATGTGCCTGCAACCAAGGTACATGCCCTTGACTGGAATCAAACCCGGGACCTTTCAGTCCGCAGACCGACACTCTATCCACTGATTTCGGCTAATCTTAGGTTTTTTTTATACGTACATACACATACATGTATTTTTATTGATTTCAGAGAGGAAAGGAGAGATAGATAGAAACATCAATGATGAGAGAGAATCACTGATTGGCTGCCTCCTGCATGTCCCCTACTGGGGAGGGGGAGGGGTTGAGTCCGCAATTCAGACATGTGCCTTTGGTCGGAATCAAACCTGGGACCCTTTAGTTTGCAGGCTGACACTATCCACTGAGCCACACAGCTAGGGCACCATCATTGATGTTTCTATCTCTCTCTTCCTCTCCTTTCCTCTCTGATATCAATAAAAATCTATTTAAAGCAAAACAAAACAATAATTGCTACTAATAAAGTAGAAAAATCAATGACAAGCAGCTGCTATGGTGAGTGGCAGCTTCCTGGCTGGGTATTATCCTGACAAGCAACTACAAGTGCCAGAGTGTTTAGCAAGGTAGACTCTGTCACAACACAGCCACGCACGTGGCCATTTCCATGATAGGTAATAATAAGGGACAAAACACAATATGGTCTCCAATGGAAAGAGCCTAATTATTATTTTTAAAAATATATATTTGAATTTATTTTTACTTTATTTTTATTCAGAGAGGAAGGGAGAGGGAGAGAGAGATGGAAACATCAATGGTGAGAGAGAATCATGATCCGCTGCCCCTTGCACACTACACACTGGGGATCGAGCCCGTAACCCGGCCGTGTGTCCTGACCGGGAATCGAACTGTGACCTCTTGGTTCATAGGTTGATGCCCAACCACTGAGCCATGATGACGGGGCGAGCCTAATTGTTTTTTAACCCCATATTTATTTATTTACTTATGTTATATTTACTATGTCAATGCATACCAAAAAGTTTATAGGAAAATGCAAAAAAAAAAAAAAAAAAAAAAAGAAAAAGAAAAAAAAAAAGAGGCCCCTAAAATCTGGAGGAGTTTGACACTGAGTCAGAGGCCAAGGTGTCCCCTGTCCCAACCGGACTGTACGGGAGCTGCTGCAGGGATGGGAGCTGCCACCCACCAGTGCCTGCTCTCCCGTGCGCAGCCCATTCTGGCTCTAGACAGCCTGTGATTAGAAGGATCTTTATTTTATTGAGACCAAATTATCATTCCCTGTAATTATGACCGTTGGTTCATGATTTGCCTTAAGATTAGATACATCTGTCTATTCCTAAGTGTATGCATTCCGCTGGCCCTTACTTAGCCAAGGATTAGCCCCTGAGGGACCTGAAAACCGGATTGGGCGATTTTCCTGAAAAACACAGAGAATGACTAGGCTATGAAAAAAGAAAAAGTAGAACAATCAATATACTGTACGAAAAGTTATGTGAGTGTGGTCTCTCTCAAAATATTGGCCCTTCTTCTTTGTGATAATGTGAGATGATACAACACCTACGTGATGAGGGGCAGCGAGGTGAAGGAAGTAAGCTTTCCGAGGTAGCATTAGGCTACTACTGACCTGATGATATGTCCGAAGGTGGATCATTGAGCCACGATGATGTCATGTCTTCCACCCCAAACTTAATGCCTTTCCCTTCCTGGCTAAGCAGTTCCTGTGGCTGTACCTTGTGCAGTCTGAGATGCGACAGCAAAACTAGCACAGATCTAATTTTTCTTCATCACAGTTTCATAGATAGAAGATGCGTTGTTATCATAGACCATAGCAACCTCAGCATAGGATTTTTTTTTCTTTTCTCTTTCCTTGTTGAGAATTTTCACCTAAAGGAAGCACTGCATGGCTTCTCTTTGGCACATCTGAATTGGCAGCGTCACTTCCAGTGCTGTGGGGCCGCTGCTAAGGAAAGTAAGGATGACTTGAACACGAGCCCTGTGATACCTCCTCAGTGGACCTGACAGCCCGGGTGGCTGCTGAGCGACTACCAGGCAGGGAGCACATACAGTGTGGAGATGCTGGGCCAAAGGATGCTTCACGCACCGGGCGGGATAGTCTGGATGGTGTGAGATTTCATCACGCTTCTCAGAACAGTGAGCACTTTAAAACTTAGGAGTTGTTTATTTCTGGAATTTGCCATTATATATTTTTGGACCCTTGTTGACTGTGAGCAACAAACTACAGAAAGTTAAACTGTGGACAGTGGGGGTGGATAGTGTACAGATAATTCTTAACGTTCACACAAAGTTATTTTAACTTACTTCAGTACTTAGTCTGAAGCTCTCCCAGGGCTGAGGGTATTGACTCCTGGAAGAAGGAATATTTGTCTGAAGGGAACCGTGCTGCACGGAGGCAGGGGCTGTGGCGGGGCTGCAGCACCCGGTGACTTGTCTCCTGCCCTGCGTGCAGGACATGCGGAGAGGACGCATGAGAGAGAAACAATTCCTTTTCTGCAGGACCACACAGCTTATAGGACTTTCAGAGACAGCCAGTTGGAGTTTTGTGTAGTTTCTGTGCTGATGGGGTGGTCCTGATTCCAGTTCTCAGGTCATTATAATAATAGCAGTGACAGCCGAAACCGGTTTGGCTCAATGGATGGAGCGTCAGCCTGGGGACTGAAGGGTCCCTGGTTCGATTCTGGTCAAGGGCACATATCTTGGTTGTGGCACATCCCCAGTAGGGGGTGTGCAAGAGGCAGCTGATTCTCTCTCATCGATGTTTCTAATTCTCTATCCCTCTTTCTTCCTCTCTGTAAAAAACCAATTAAAAATAAAAATAAAAGTAAATAAATAAAAATAAATAGCAGTGACAGCTAATAATGTGTATTCAGTTCTCCATGCATGTTAGGTACTATTCCAAAACACTTTAACGTGCAGTAACTTATTTAATTCCCATGACAACCCTATCAGGTAGGCGTGATGATGATTTCCGTTTCACAGATGGGGCCACTGAGGGGCAGAGAGATCGCGATTCATGCCCAAGGTCACACAGCTGATAGGAGGCAGAGTCTGGATTCGAACCCAGGCTGTCTGGCTCATTAGTTCTTGCTCTTGGCCCTGTTTGAGCTTGCCACTGGCCAGGTTGGTGGGAGAGATTGGGGGCACATGGCTGTTTCCTGTTCCTCTCTCCCCGTTCTGTTCGTACCGCAGTCACTGGGTATGTGGAAGTTCCCTTGGCTTCTCCAGCCCTTATATCATGGCCCAGAGTGGGACTTGGGAGCTTTCTGAGGAATAGGAGTTTCATCCTTTGTCTCAATGTCACACATTATGAAGTTGTCAGTGGCTAGGGCTGGGGCTTGGACCATCTTCCATGGATGGTGCATTCCTTGGGACCTGACCCAGGCCTGCTTATACCCCCTAACTCTTTCTGCCCTGTACCATGCCCTAGTGTATTCCAAGTCTACCACAACGGTGAGATGCCACTCGAAGAATCCACAAGAGCCATGCAAAGGGAAGTTGGACTCTGGGAAGAGCAAGTTCCGGCTAATGAGGGTATTTGGAGAATCCTCCCAAGGTGCTGGGCCCCTGGGCAGGGGTTTGGGGATGGCGGTAGCAAACACCCACCGAGCACTTGTGGAAACCAATCAGGATCCCTTTTCATTTCAGTGTGTTAGGGATGCAATCTGTGGCTTAATCATCAAAAAATTCCCCATAAATTCCTTTCATGGAACACACTGCATTTTGAAACAAGGCTTAGAAGCTTACTTTTAATTTTTCTACATCAGCTGACACAGTTTTGGATAATGAATTTTCTCATCACCCATTGTTTTATATGGTTTGGGACAATGTGTCAAAGTATTTGAAATGAATAAAAGAAAGAAAGGGGGCCTTCATGTTTATAGCAAGAAGTAAAATATCGCTGAAACCGGTTTGGCTCAGTGGATAGAGCGTCAGTCTGCCGACTGGGGGGGAGGGGGACGGGGAGGGGATGGTCCCTGGTTCGATTCCGGTCAAGGGCATGTACATTGGTTGAGGGCACATCCCCAGTGGGGGGTGTGCAGGAGGCAGCTGGTCGATATTTCTCTCTCATCGATGTTTCTAACTCTATCCCTCTCCCTTCCTCTCTGTGAAAAATCAATAAAATATATTTTTTTAAAAAGAAGTAAGTTACTAAGTACTCTAAGTACTATCAAACACTATAGAAGAATTCTTAACTTCTCCAGGAAAGTGTTTAATAGCTCAATGAGCAATGGCTGCTATATAAAGAAATAGGGGGAAATGTATTTTCTTTGAAACCTTTTTACCCCTTTAACCTTCAATTCTGCAAAGTCACCTAACCTGTCTGACCTTACACCTACCAATGAAATAGTTAGTAAGCATAGGGCTGTTAGCGGATGACCGATACCATGTGCCATGAACCAAATGAGGCACAATGTGAAACCCATAGTAGGTCCTCAACAATCGTTACTGCTGTTGTTGTTGTGATTATTGCACTTGCTGAGGGTGACTTCTGAAGCCCTTCTACCCTCATTGTTTCCCCAGGGGCTTTGTATGAAATGAGAGATTACTCGCTTCAGCTGCCTGATGAAAAATGTTAGCAATCATCATCCACTCTGCCTCCCGGCTTCTCCAGACATGGCCCATCACCTCTGCCACCTTTACCTGCCTGGGCATTTTCTATTTTTATAATTATTATTACTACTATATTTCATTGATTTTAGGAAGCTACTGATAATAAACCGCACCTTTATTTTACTTATTCACTAATAAAACATTTGTCAATTAGATTGAGACAGGCATCAACTGTAAGATGCATTCTCAGTTCTGAGAAGTAAAATTATGGGGAAATGGCTATTTCAGAATGGAAGCAATAGTTGGCTGTTCTGTGACCCGCTGACAATGGGGAACCGCCTCCCGGCATGGGTCGCATTTACCAATCGAGGCCACTAGGGGGCAAGCGTGGGACCAGAGGGAAGTGGTCCCTAGGCTCAGGGATGCGCAGGCCGCCCCGCCCAACGCAGCACCACCTCCTCCGTCCGCCCACAGACGTTGATCAGGAGCCGACGAACCTCACTCCAGGAGCTTTACAAGCAGGAGAACTTCCTCACCAAGCTCAATCAAGAACTGATCAATACCATCAAGGACATGGAAGACAGCTCAGCCCTGAAAACACGCGGGATGCTGCAGCAGCAGGACATCTTTGGGGTGAGGCTCCACCTTGGCCCTGCAGCCCCGCCTCTGTCTTCCCGCCCACCATGCCGCCCTTCTGAGCGCTTTGGCGCCCTCTCCTGGTCCCCTGGCCGGTTGCACAGCTGCTGCTTCCATCTGGAAGACACATCTCTTAAAACACACGGCCCCACCTACCAGGGCTTTGGAATCAGGCCTGGATGGGGGCTCATCCTAACATCAGTACTAATTAGCTGAGAGACTTTGAGTTAACCTCTGAGAGGTGTAAAATAGGGCTCAACAGCACCCATTCCCAGGGGTGGTTGAGGTGTACTTGGTACACACACAGCAGATGTGCAGGAGAAAGTAGCTGCTGCCATCACCAGCAGCAAATACTTACACAGTGCAATACGAAGAGCTTTGTACATTCTCAAGTAGCCTTAAAACAACCCTGTACACTGGGTATTATTATCCTTATTTTACATATGAAGATATAGAAGCATAGGCGAGGTGACTTGGTCAAGGTCAGTTTAAGGTCACCCAGCTAGCAGGATCTATGTTCCTCCCACCAGCTGTGATTACGCCCTCATCCAGCGGGGGCACTTCCGGTCCATGGGCTAAGAGGGAGTGGCTTTGCAGAGAGCCCAGGGAATGTCCTCAGCCTCCTTAGGAGAGGCCAGGTAAGCTGCGGGGAGAGGCTGAAAGTTCACAGGAGACCCAGGAATTCAGGAGGAAGAAGAGTCGGAGAAAACGGTTTAATGGAGAAGTGATTCTCCTCTCTGACTGCCGTCGGCCCCGGGGGAAGAGGGAATGGGCTCACCCGAGCCTGGGAGATGAAGAGAAAATGAAGCCTTGTGAACTGGATTGGTCTGCTCAGGCTGCCGTAACAGAATACCACAGACCAGGTGGCGTAAACAGCCAAATGTGTTTCCTCATAGTTCTAGAGGCTGGAAGTGTAAGATCTAGCTGCCAGCGGGGTTGATGTCTGATGAAGTCTCTCTCCTGGGGTGCAGACGGCTGTCTTGCTGTGTTCCCACATGGCCTTTTCTCTGTGCTCACAGGGAGTGGGAGCGGTCTCTGGCAGCTTTTCCTCTTCTTTGAAGGACACTAGCCCCATCGGGTTAGGACCCCGCCCTTTTGTTCATTTATCCTTAATTACTTTCCTGAAGGCCTTATCTCCACATACAGTCACATGAGGGGTTAGGGCTTCACTTTATGAATTGGGGGTGGGGGTGGGGATACACAATTCAATTGATAACAGAGACCAGGGCCATGCGCAGGTATTCGGCCCAAGGAACTTAGTAGAATGTTCTCCATTTCTAAAGTCATCGTCCCTCTCCTATGTCATGGATTAACGAATACATTTTTTACATTAATTTTACATCAATACGTTTCCCTGAGTACTTGGGAAACAGTGATCAGTGGACCCTCTTGTCCATCTCAAGCTCTCATTCTAGTGGGGTCCCAGGCAGTTAGAAAGCCCTTTGTGTGTACTGATGGGGATGAGGGGCTCAGAGCTCAGTGGATCTCTCTAACCCAGACCGGGAGGTTCGGGAGGGCTTCCTGGAGGAAGTGGTGCTTGGGTTGAAACATGCAGACATAGGCATTAACTGGTAGAGAGCAGAAAAGTGTCCCAGGCAGAGGGAATGGGTATAAAAGGCCTGGGGTGAGAAGGAGCCACATGTTGCTTAGTGTGGCTAGACAGTGTTACGCCCAGACTTTGTGATCCCCAAGGACCACCAGGGAGCCGAGTCCGATGCAATAAACAAAAGAGCCTTTTCCATGCTAGCATGGGCTCTGTCCCACTCACGCCGGCAGCATGGCAGAAGAGAGTGTGAATTTCGCCCAGTCCAGGGGTTTTACTCAGGTCGGTGGTGATGTCACTGCCTCGGCTGACCCTGATTGGTTGGGTGAGGGCTAGGGTCCAGCCACAGAATGGAGGATAACTCCGCCTGCCCATCCTCACCCCACCCTGCCCTCTGAACAGTAAGATGTGAGGAAGGGATCAGGGAGAGAGGAGGTTGGCCCAGGTCGGGGGGAGGAGGGCTTTGCCAGACAAGGAAAGGGGGTTGGGCCTTATTTAGAGGGAGCTATTGGACAGTTCTTACAGGAGAGGGACAAGGCCACTGTTTTTTAAAGAAAGATCATTCTGACTGCTGTGTGGAGCATCGCTCAAAGGAGAGGACCAGTTAGCGGTAGCTGTTGTCATATTTCAGACAGCAGTTGGAGAAAACTTAAGATAGTGGCAGCAGGGATGGAGAGAAGGGTGTGGCTGTGAGCGCTGTTTGGGGTATAAAAGCCATACCACTTGGCGGCATTTTGAATGAGAGAGGGGAGGAGAGGCTGGTGCCTGGGTTTGGGCCGTGTGCCTGGTGTGTGGTGGGGCCATTGGCTGATTGGGTGGTAGGAAAGGGGAACGTCGGGAGGGGGAGGGTAGTAGGTGGAAAGGTTCCTGGGCCTTCGAGTGGGACTGGGTTTGAGGACTCCTCTGATTCCCCGAGAGACCATGCTCTTGGGGCTGGGGGAGGCGAGCTGACCCCACCACTCCCACAGATAATCATCAACAGCTTGGGGTGCTCAAACAAGAAGAAGCTGAAGCAGATGACATGTGAGCTGCAGGAGTGGAAGGAGAAGGAGGAATCCAAGATGAGCTGTAAGGATCCACTCCTTGATCCTCCCCTGGGCCTCTGGGGAGGTCAGCTGCAGGGCAGGCCCATCACCTCCCTTCTTAGGCAGATGGGATTGTTCACATTCAGAGCTAATAGCTTGCTTATGGAGCGGTTAGCACTTCCAGGTCTCCATTTCTATGAGCGAACTCTCAGTCATTACAGCTACCTGTGAGGGAGGGAATATTCTCCCATCTCACAGGTGAGGAAACGGAGGCTAAGAGAATTGAAGTAGCCTGCCGAAGGCTATACAGTTAGGAGCCAGCATCCCATCCAGGCCCGGCTCTGTTTCCTGCCCAGTTCTCTGTGGGAGCTGGGGCCTGGGCCAGGTCCCAGGTCTCCCGGTCTCTCTCGCGCTGAGCCTGTGGCTTCATTCCCCTAAGCAGACTAGCAGCCTTCGGGGCAGAGGGACGGTGTGGTGCGTCAGAAAGCATCCGATAGTGGGGATCCCCTCCCAGGAGGACAGCAGGCTGTGTCTTGGGAGCCAGTGTTGCCCCTTCTCTCTGGGCTGGTGCTGCAGGAGTGAGTACGAGGAGACGGAAGTCCATGGAGGGAGGTCTTGGTGAGGGTCATAGAGCAAGTTGCCGATAGAGCTGGGACTAGTCTCGGGATCCTGCACCAGCTTAGTTTCTCTTTCCCACTCTGTGTTGCTTCTTCAGTGGGTGAGAGAGTCTCTGGGGCCTTAGCTGTCACCACTCCCAGCCCTTGTGTGAGCTCGCTTCAGCCCAGAACCCACTCCATCGGCCAAGGAGAGCTCTGCCTCCTGGGATCCTGGGAGGGGTCCTTGAGGGAGGATCCTGCCCCCTGTTCCCCCTGACTTCTCCAGACCTGAAGCAGCAGGTGGAGCAGCTGAATGACAAGCTCAAGAAGACCCAGGAGGAAGTGAACTTCCTGAGCACTTACATGGACCACGAGTATCCCGTCAAGGTGGTCCAGATCGCCAACCTCCTGCACCAGCTGGAGCAGGTGAAGGACAACCAGCAGGTAGGTGAGCCCCTGGCTTTGACCTGATAGGACCCGGGGGAGGCAGGGCCCGGGGCCAACCTGCTCCTGCTGCCCCCCCAGGATGAGCTGGATGACTTCAATAAGATACGCAAGATGGTCCTAGAGTCTTTGTCTGATCAGATCCAGATGAAGAGACAAAAGCTCGTGCGCTCTCTGGTGGCGGTGAGTAGCCAGCTCCGGCCTCCAGCCCTGCTTTCTTTCCAGCCCCCTGCGCCCCCTCCAGCCTCTCCTGCGTACTGCTGCCCCGGAAGGGGTACATGGGGGCCAGACTCTCCTTCGTTCACAGAAAATGCAGCATCCCAGGCAGGCGTTTCTTCTGCACAGGACCCAGGAGAACCAGAACATGGCGAAGTACACGGACAAGTACAGAGAAGTGAGTGGGCCGGGCCGGGATGGGCCCCTGCAGGAGCAGAGGGGCGGGCAGACCCAGACCTGTGGGAGACACGCTGGTCCTGACCTGGACCTGGACTCGGAGCTGTTCCACCTTGTGCTCTGGAGGCTTGGACCCGGGTTGGCCTTTCTCCTTGCCAGTGCTATTGCTGTCCCTTGTTACTCCTCTGAGAGGGGATTTGGGGGGGGAGGAAGAAGGGGGCCCTAGGCCTCGCCTCAGAAACCAGCCTCCCTGGGCACCACCCTGGGCAACATCACCAAGCACGGCCCACTCCACCACATTTTACCTTCACCAGCCACCCCGTCTTCACCCCTAAATTCTCACTGTTGAGCACCTCTCCTTACCAGCGTGAATGAACATCACCATCACCTCCTTTGTGATAATGTTCATTACCTCCATCAGTCACCTTACCGTCTCCGTCGACCCTCATTACCGGGCACAGCCTCTGCTTTGCAGCCTGTGTCCGTTCCCCATGGCGCCCTCACCTTTCTCAGACCATCAGACACGGTCACTGCTCTGTGAGCCAGCCCTGCCCGCCGGAGAAGCCCTCTCCGGAGCCCCAAGTCCCTGGGACCCAGCCCAGGCCATTTCCCTAAATGTCTTTACTCCTCACCCATGTTGCCCTTTCCTTCCTCTGGTTGGGGTCGTATGGATTCTGAGTTTCTCCTGCTGTCCCTCTCAGTTTATCAGCCAGTTTGAGGAGAAAATTCCCAAATTGAGGGCCGAGGTGGAACAGCTCCTAGTCCGGGCCCGGGAACCCCGCGAGGTCGCGTTTGCAGACGTTCTGCTTCGGAGGCCCAAGTATGTGACCGTGTTGCAGCTTCTCAGACTAGATGGGAGCCCCTGCCCCTTGCTACCGCGTGGAAGGAACAACGCCTGTCACTTAGGAGCGTTTATTGCGTGCCAGCCTGATCTCACTTGTTCCTGCCCGTGACTAAGGTCGGGATTATTACCCTCCTTTGATCGGGGAAACTGAGGCCCACCTGGTGTCCGTCACATAGTGAGTGCTCGTTACGTAGGTGCCAGCAGGAGGAACGGGGCTCTGAGAGGGCGAGTAGGAGGCTCAAGGTGACACAGGCAGGTTTGCAGAGGACTCATTCGACTTCAAAGAGCGCTCGCCCTGAGGGGCCCCAGCACCTCAGAGCTGAGTTCCTGCTCCCTCTTGACCTTAGACCTCTGAGGGGAGCATCAGTCCGGTCAGACCCCTTCCCTTTTCATTCTGGAGTGTTTGTGTGTGTGCATTCTTACGCGGTTGGCTGTGAGGTTTCAGATGGGGCTCCCCAAATAAGTACCGGTGTTCTCAAGAGCAGGGCTCCCCCGAGGACATGCTTCCCCACCCTACAACCCTGGCGCCCCTGCCTCCGTGGCCTCTCACACCTCTCGTTGCTCTTCCCTACCAGGTGCACCCCAGACATGGATGTCACCCTCAGCATCCCTGTGGAAGAGCTGCTGCCCTTCTAGATGGAGGGCCATGGCCACCCTTCCCTCCCTGCTCTCTCCCCGGTGCCCGAGTCTCCTTCCAAGACCAGATTCCCATGGTGCCCTCCTCGTCTGCCTCTCCTTTCCTCCCTCTGGCCTTTGGGTTTGGGGCTGCCACTTGGGCCAGGTGGGAGTTTTCAGTCAAGCCCGCCTTTTCCTTCTACCAATAAAGCCGGAGCTGCATTTGCGCTTTGCCAGTGCCTGGGGATGGACTTTGTCTTGAGGGCAGCTGTGCTGGCTGCATCTGGGGCTCAAAACTTCTCAAGAAATGCCAGACTGATCCCCCAATCTGAATCTCCGTGGCTCTGTGGCTCCAGGCTGCCCCCTTCCTGGTTCAGAGGAAGCCCAGGTTCCCTCCCAATTTGTGCCCAGTCCTGTGAGGACCAGTGCCAGGGGGAGTTTAATACACTTGGAAACTTGCTGGGCCTCCATTGACAAACAAGCCCCAATAAAGCTAAGCGTAATGAAAAGGCTACAGAGAGACAGTTCGTGGTCATGGTCATTGTGGCTGAATCCCACCATGGCAGGTGTGTGGGAAGGGGTTGGGGAGGCAGGGAGTTGCCCAGGGGTTAGGAGTGTAGGTCTGGGTGACAGCACTTGGTAGGGAGGGACCAGCTCACCTACGTTTGAGGATATTTCTCTTGGATTTCCATTTTAAGCTACTCTGCCCATGATTCCCTATCCACACCTTACAGTTACCTCCACCTCCTGTGAAAGTTCACCTTTATGAGCTCTGAGTTGGCTCTTATATCCATGGAATTTCGGCAAAGTTTCTGCCTTAGGCAAATTAGGATTATCAGGATTCCAAATCAGTATATTTGGGATCATGGGGGTGGTGGTGGGGCACTAGATAACGAAAGGACCCCATCCTGTTATCTGCTCTTAGCCTGTTCACCATCCTTTATTGGAGCATTGGAGGGCTGCAGGAATGGGTGTATGTGGATGTGGCGGAGGAGGCAGGGGAAATCAACTTGCTGCTGTCTTTAATGGCAAGAACAAGTGTCTCCAGAGCATTTTTGCAAAGGTGTAGAATGCCCCCCAGGTGGGAAAATTTAGCATAATAAAGGTTGTAGGCAGGCATGAGCCAGGCATTATTAGATGACCAGGCATTATTTTTAAATTTTAGCAGGGGATGTTTGAAAAACCTATTCTGATCAAGTAAATGTTAAGTTTCTCGTTCTAAGGCCAATTTCTGGTATCTTGTGAAGTTCCTTGATCTAAATCTGGTTTAGGACACCAGTAGGAATAGGAGGGCTTTGGTGTGGTCCTGGGCAGCAGAGTCACACCGTGTCCTGGTTATGCCCATGTTGTGTGTAGACTTTGGTGTGGGAATACCTAGTATAATCAGAAGATGGCAGTAAAGGGCTAATAGAATTAACCTGACGGCAACTTTAGCCCCCGGGGAATGGATCCCGAGCTTTTAAATCTCCAGTGCATTTTTATTGTAGAGTTCACAACTGGAGAAAACCCTTTTGGCCATTAGTGTGTGAATGGACCTATTGCTATTCCTTTCTTCCTGTTCACCTGAGCTGGCCAGCCTCCAACCTCATCTCACCAGTCTCCTCCTGTCCCTATTTCTTAGTCCAAGGAGCCTTCCTTACTCTGCCAAAGGAGCTCCTTTCCTGCTCAGCCTTTGCTGTGGCTGGTCCCCTGCTCTGAAGACTGCTCTCCACGTCTTCGTGCAGCTCAGTCACCATGCCCTCTGAGTTCAAGTTTCCTTTCTCAGGGAAGTCTTGCTTGACCATTTCTTTTCTTAAAAATATATATATTTTTGATTTCACAGAGGAAGGGAGAAGGAGAGAGAGAGAGAGAGAAACATCAGTGATGAGAGAAAATCATTGATTGGCTGCTGCCTGCATGAAGCCCATCCTGGAAATGTGCCCTGACTGGGAATCGAACCGTGACTTCCTGGTTCATAGGTCAATGCTTAGCCACAGCTGGCTGGGCTGTCTTTTCATTTTGTTGGTGGTTTATTTTGCTGTGCAAAACCCCTTTAGTTTGATGTAGTCCCATTTGTTTGTTTTTTTCTTTTGATTTGCCTGAGGAAGTATATCAGAAAAAGTACTGCATCCTAGCCAGTTTGGTCAATGGATAGAGCATTAGCCTGTAGACTGAAAGGCTGTGGGTTCAATTCTGGTCAAGGGCACATACTTTGGTTGCAGGCTCCTCCCCGGTCTGGGTTCTGGTCAGGGTCTGTGCAAGAGGCAACCAATCTATGTGTTGCTCTCACATAGATATTTCTCACTGTGTTTCCGTCTCTCTTCCACTCTCTCTGAAAAATCAATGGAAAAATATCCTCAGGTGGGGGGGTGAGAGCATGTATGGGAGTGGGGTGAGGGGGGGCAATGGAGGATATAGACGCATATGTAATACCTTAATCTATAAAATATCAATTAAAATTATATCCTCAGATAATGATTAAAAAGAAAAAAGAAAAAAAAGGAAAAATATTGCTATGTAATATGCTCAGTAAAATGCTTGAGATTTTTACTGCCTATATTTTCTTCTAGGAGTTTTATGGTTTTGAGTCTTACATTTAAGAATTTAATTCATTTTGAGTTTATTCTTGTGTGTGTGTATATTATACACACACACACACACACACACATATATATGGTGGAAGGATGTGGTCTAATTTTATTTTTTTCACAAATGTTTCTAATTTCCCCAGCCATTTGTTGAATAGAGCCATCTTCACACATTACAAAATGATGTAATGTGTAACACTCACATTACATCATTTTGTGCAGCTTTTTTTCTGGTTGGATTGAACCTGCAAATTGTCTCCTGAGAATACAGCAGCAGCTGGTGTCCCACCTCCTCCTTCCTGATCCCCACTCCTTACCCCCCACCTGAGCAGGATTCAATTATTTCCATTTCCTGTGAAAGATCATCATTGTTAGCAGCTATGAGTTAGCCCTAATGCTCATGGAATTTTAAAATATATATATATATATATATATATATATATATATATATATATATATATATATATATTTTACAGAGAGAAAGGGAGAGGGATAGAGAATTAGAAACATCAATGGTAGAGAAACATTGATCAGCTGCCTTACTAGGGATGTGCCTTCAACCAAGGTACATGCTCTTGACCAGAATTAAACCTGGAACCCTTGAGTCCGCATGCCAACACTGTCCACTGAGCCAAACCAGTTAGGGCATGTCCATGGAATTTAAGCAAAGCTCCTATCTTGGGCAAATTAAGATTTGCATAGGGGAGATAAACAAGGGGGGGTAATGCAAGAAGGTCAAAAGAGAAGCTGTCACTGCTTCAGACGGTAGTTTGGTTATTAGTCCACATCTTGGGACTGGGGTGAATTTTTGTTAGTACAGGCATATTCAGTTATAAGTTAAAATGTTTAGATAACTATATTTAACTTAAACAGATTTGTGTAGTTATAGGCAGAGTCATTTTGAACAAACCAATGAGAACACTTCTCTAACAGTGACTAAACATTTTAAAAAATATATATATATTATTGACTTTTCACAGAGAGGAAGAGAGAGGGATAGAGAGTTAGAAACATCGATGAGAAAGAATCATCGACCAGCTGCCTTTTGCACACCTCCTACTGGGGATGTGCCCGCAACCAAGGTACATGCCCTTGACCGGAATTGAACCCGGGATCCTTCAGTCCGCAGACTGACGCTCTACCACTGAGCCAAACCGGTGCCGGCTAAACATTTTTTTTTTTTTTTTAAAACGTTCACTGTAAAAACAATTCTAAATTAAAGACAAATCTGAGCACATGGTGCTCATGACCCTGAGTCATTCCTGAGAGCTGCAGGGTGTTACTCCATTATGATGCATCAGTGTGACTCTAGACTCATTCTCTAAGGCTGGTTCTCAGCTTTGTTTTTGTTTTGTTGTGTTTTTAAATATATTTTTATTGATTTCACGGAGAGGAAGGGAGAGGGAGAGAGAGAGAAACATCAATGATGGGAGAGAATTATTGGTTGGCTGCTTCCTGCACATCCCCTACCGGGGATCAGGCCTGCAACCCAGGCAGGTGCCCTTTGACTGGAATTGAACCTGGGACCCTTCAGTCCACAGGTCAGCACTCTGTCCACTGAGTCAAACCAGCTAGGGCTTGGCAGTTTTTTTTTTTTTTTTTTTACAAATGGTTCAAGTGAGCCAGTCACTCAAGAAAAATAACCAATAGTATTTTTGGCAATGATAAAATCCAAAGTATCCATCACTGAGTTTGAAGCTTCTCAGGTTTTCTGATAAATGTTTATATTAATTAATATGATATTTTGATATTGTATAATGAAACGTCAAAATCTGGAAGATCTGTATAACTCTGAATTAATATTTTCCAAGGAACCAGTGCAGGAAGTGACTAAATCATGGATGGGTAATAGATCCATTTAAAGAACAATGTAGGCCAATGCATTTTAATGTAATGGAGTATAAGAAATTCCTTTGACAGGGTTTCAAACTCCTTGTTGCAATGAACCTTTAAGAAACTACCACATGTTTGAGTTTTGGTGTGGTATCAAAGACTATCTACAAATATCTGAAAATACTCCTCCTTCTTCCAACTACACACATTTCAATCATAGCAACATATGGCAGCAGGATGAATACAGAAACAAATGAGAACACTGATGTCTTCCATTACTAGAAAATCTATGAGATTTGTAGAAATTAAAATAGCCATTTTTCTTGTTCAATTTAAAAAATATAATTATTATGAAATAATATATTTATATTTACATGTAATGAATTTATTACCACGATTTTAAAATCAATTAATAGCCCTGGCTGCTGTGGCTCAGTTGGTTGAGCATTGTCCAGTGCACTGAAAGGTCACTGGTTTGAGTCCCAGTCAGGGCACATACCCAGATTGCAGGTTTGATCCCTGTTTGGGGCATGTATGGAAGGCACCTATCAATGTTTCTCTCTCCTCCCCTTTCTCAAATCAATAAAAACATTTAAAATCAATTAAATAAATATTTAAAAT